ACCGATAGGTAAAATGTCTGTCTACTCTATCTATATTTGTGCCCTTGGTGCTACCTTCAGTGAGCCTGACGGATGACAGTGCACAAGTTAGTAGTAAAGATTCTGCGGTACGAATCTCCACGCGAGTAGCGGCCTCAATCCTAGCAGACAGATGTTTTTTGAAGTGCCATACTTTTCATTTCCATTCGCTAACACCTAATGACGCAAAACGACCGGTAACGGTAAACTGCTCAAGATATATCTTCGAAAAGTATTTCCTTATATATCTTGCCACTATCGCACTGAAAACAAAGTGGCTGTCTTTGCTCGGATCAAAGAAAGCTGCCTCTTAAACTGAATTTTTCAGTGGATTTTGGAGAGGGCGGTTTAGTACAGTGGTTGAATTTATATTTTTTTTTTAGCTCAAGCATCGTCCGAGTGCTCGAAACCTTTTCGGACGGGTATCTAAAAAGACCCTTTATAGTGGAACCACTTTTTCAGAACATGACCCAACAATAAAGTACTTACAGCCATTTGACTTCTCTTTTTAACACTAGACGTAAATTAGGTCAGTATATGCTGTTTATCCACAATAGAGCCCAGGGGAGGATTTTTTGTTAAACCTCGAACTGTATTCACTATGATATTATATTGTAGGCCATAAAACGAAGCTCAAATAATTAACTAATTATTTCTAATCTAACCTTGTCTACTCCATGCTGCGGTGACAGCAAAGAGATACGTTAGGTGTAATATGATGTCACTGAAGTATTTTGCACTCAGTCTCGTTATCGACTTCATCACATATTGCATAATTCATGTATTGTGATAGGCCCAGTGTTACCAGAAGCGCGCATGTATATCGCATATCTACGACATCTCAATGAAAAGTATCTGTTTCCATATGGCCGATTGCAGTTACTTGGATCTAGCCAACACACACGTAAACCTTGCTTGTCACGTCGCGAATAACGCCCTTCGCCTTGCCTTCCTGAGGGATGGCCAATATCGTATCATTAGATCGTGAGGTGTACCTGGCCATTATGCTGTACGGCCCACTTCATTTGGAATACCTAGCTTGGAAAAGCTATACGATGCAATTTGGCTTGGTACGTGATACTGAAGCAAACGAAGGAAATGGAGGCTATTTCCTCGCCGGCCGTAGTACGACATCTTGATCACCAGCAGCATTCTTCAGTTGATTCGCTACGAACGTGCCTGAAAGTATCGTAACATGCAGATTTCTGAAGTATCTGCTAATGTCTCACCTGCTGCTTTCCTAGAATTTTTAAGGGAGACGCCTCTTCAACTTTTACATTTGAAGCTTCGTTAGTAAAAGCTACGGGTATCTCACATCGTTCCTTGTATTTTTTCGTCCTTCTCTTTCTGGACGCCATTTTTTCAAGTCAGTGCAGTAATGTCATTCTGCTTCTTCTTTAAACGTAACCACTAAACAAGTTTATTAATAGGTTTTTGAAGATCGACGGTTGCCCGAAGGTTCGTATGTAGCAAGTCTGAATCTGTCTCGGGGAAGCTTAGGGAACAGTTATTTAGTCGTATGAAAGCTAAATTCGCGTTGATCAAAGGCAGACAGTAAGCGATTAGTGCATATAGCCTAAACACCTTGGATGAACGCTCCCATTCGTGTACGTAAGCACTAGGGTGGTATGATTTTTTCTAATTCTGAGGTCCTAAAGTCTAATTTAACGCTCTGTAATAAAGCACGTTCGAATACTCAAGAAAATCCGTTTCGCTGATTCTCTAATGTACTTCCTATTGCGAAGCAAAGGAAGCAAAAGAGTTAGATTGACCAGCGTGCCATCTCTGTGCTATAACGTATAATTCATATTGAAACCATTTGCCTTACTAGACATGGCTGTCTATTGTCCACTCTCCTACGTGATAGCCCTAAATTGTTTAGTGATCATGAAACGCTTCATCACACGTATATATATATGTCGTTACAAAGGCAACGATAAATCTTGTTAGCATCATTTAGAGGTACGCAAGCCAACTATTAAAATAATATAAAAAGATAATAGCCATCGAGAAAATGAACGGATACTACTAATGTAAAAGAGCAATCAATAATTGACTAGAACTAGCTTTCCACGGTGTGAAATCTAAAATAGAAAGTTTCGGCTATATAGACGTGGATGAATGCTTGAACAAAAATTGAAAATGAAGGATTAGCTCGTGACCCACCTTAGCCAATGCCCGCAGCATCTTACAAGCCTCCCTTCTATCCGGAAGCATTGCGGCGGTATCCAACCGGTCAACAATTCGCTCCACTGACGAATGTCCGTCTTCTTGCGGGGAAGGCTCGGAAGAGCCTCCACCCCCAAGAAGTCCAGAGAGGAACATACTACCAGCGACCGAGGTGCCTCAACAAACAGGCCAGATCTATGTGCAAACTTCGCGTCTCCACCCTGTTGAGCATAATATAGCAAAATGTTAACCCCACTATTGATATTTTAAGCCTCTTTTGATAACATGTAACTGTGACCTTCAAAAGTTCATACATTGTGATTGTCCCCGCAATACGGACTACGATACCCATCTAGTGGCCTTCAAATAGCGATAAACATCTGTAACAAAACACTCTTGATCAGAAATTTGCCTCTACCGTTAGCGTCGACGAAATATTTTCCATGGAGCTGCATATATTACTGATCTGTCTAGATCCTCGGGTGAGTACTACGACATTATTCAAAGAACACGACTGATAAAATTTTACTTCGGATAACCATACTGTGAAGTCTTAGAAGGGGTTCGCGTGGGCAGAGTTAGCCTCAATAACAGATATACGACGGGAAAATAAATATGAAGTTCAGCTTGCATCGTTTAACAACATTCATAAAAATATTATATATTGCGATATAACGATATTGATAATAATTTTTCACCCAACTTGAATGAGTACTATTGCCTCTAGTGATCTTAGCAGAATTTTTGAGAAATATTTCTTTGACAAATATGAACAGCGTATAAAAAAAATACTGTAAATCAATATTAGCGTTTTTGTTTGGCATATAGCCACACAGGCCGTATAGGCCAATGGAAGTGTTAAGGAAGATATGAAATTATACGTACTTGTCATTCATCTGAAATTTACATGCGAAGTAGTAATTACACTGAATAGAGAAATAAATTATAATTTATGTCCGCAGTAATAAAGTAAGGTGCAATGAAAAAATTGTCCAATGATATTTATACAACTTGAATTATTTGCTGCCCGCTATCGGACTGCAGTAGAAATCTATAAGGTTTGGGAATTATACGTAAAGGAGAAGGCGATGGCGATGCTACTGTAGCAGTATGCCAATGAATTATGGCAGTGCTGGAAGCGAGTTCAGCACATACGTAATAGAATACATATTTTCCGCAATATTAAACAGCTTCTACCTAATACAAAAATAATAATAATGAAAAACCTATAATAATATCTGCACCGCACATACGTGTTCACGTAACATCTTCTAACATCTTGGAATATCAGACAGTGATTATCAGAGAACTCAAACGCACCAACTGTTTTGTTCCGGGATTGAGTAACACTCCCAGCAACTACTCCAAGTTATCTACCAACAACTGCCAACAGAACGTTACATATAAAAAAAATTTGGTGCTACCGTTCATTTCAAATAGCAAAATACCAACGTATTTATTATAGATATCCATGGCTTCATAGACTTGAGACGTTTAAAGATGGAGCTTTGCACAATATGTAATATGGCTGATTTTGATGTACACGCAATTGCAGAATGAGGCTTCCTCTTTTCACGTCTCTAGCTTTTCTCTACTTACATCTGCTTGTGTTGTGAACTTCCACCTGCTGCTTTGCCGCAATTTAACCGCTGAGCACGACCATTGCATGAATCAGTTCATTTTCAAAGTTTTTTTTTTATATGCACACGTAGACGTCACGTTTTTTTGAGCGTTACAGCTAACGCACAGCGTCTGTCAAAACTGTTTTTTTTCGCATGCGAAGGAACAAGTGAGAAATTTTTCTTCGACTATTTAGTAGAAGAGCAAAAGTGCACCCATAATCTTAAACTTTCGGTGGAATCACGTACATAAGCAGCAACAACTCCCAAAGTATAATCGAAATGTCAAATAAAAGCAATCAGAGTACTAATAGGGACGGCCTGTAGCCAAAAGAAATAGACTTTATGAATTCAAACCGTTGCTTACAGGTCAGCACCGCTACCATCTGGCCCAGCTGAGTGACAGGCCGAGCCAGCATCGATGCAACCCGTCAGCCAGCAGACGAACGAGCTGTAGAATAAATTCGTAAAGCGCTAGGTAACTATAGCCGTAGTCACCACACACGTCACCAACACAGTCTGATCCGTTGTATCTTGCTGGTAGGTTGTCGGATCGCGAAAGTACTACTGTCTGTATGTACGTCCGGCCGTCTGTCTGTCTGTTTGTTGGTCTATCTTTTGCGTCACGTCACATTACTAACCGGACACGCACACACAGCGCGAAGTTTTAATTTGGTCTTAAACAAAGCGGCTCTTATATTAAAACAACGTCATAACGTCCGTCATTATTATCAAATCATGATCATATACAAGCTACTGCTTCCTCCACTAAAAGGATAATTTCGATGATTGGTAATATGGCTGGCTCACCAACTATCTGCTTTAGTAGGGAAGAACGAATGCGAAAAATTTTCCCCTTCAGGATATATAGCGGACAGACCCCGAAGAGGAATTACGTAAAGTCCCAACTTTGCTGCGGGTCCATGCCGCCACGATGGTAACTACATGTCCACGTTAAGGCAGATACCAAGAACGCTAGACTGGGGACTCCGAAAAAGATCGAAAGACTAATTCGAAAGACTCAAAATTGTCTGCACTAGTTGTGGAGCATGCTGATATAATTTTCGAGCTTGTGTGCTAGCCAGGATTTCTCCTGCCTGTATAGTGATTTTCAATAGAGATCTGAACCCTAGACCGATTCAAATTGTTGCGCGCGGACAGTGCACTAGTCCAGGTGATCCCGACAATCGGGCATTGTGTGATTGTTTCTGATCTGTCGCTCCGTGCTATGGTTTGTTATTTATATTTGTGTGTGTGCGTGTGCTGTCCTCTAGTTTGCCGGCTGGAGCACGAAAGGACCGAGTTGTTCAACTGCGAGGAGAGATAATTGCGATTTGTCATCGTCACTTGTGTGATCGTATGTTTCTTAGTTATCAGGTGTGTGTATTGGCATTGTAGCAATAAACCAATTTTTAACATCACTATCTATTTCAGTGACCGCGCTTTTGCCCTGCGTTTTACTGTTCGATTCCGTGCTACGGTACGTAGTGTTGGCGTCTTTGACCACCGTCGTCGTTTCGCTTGCGAAAGCTCCCACGTTTAATGCGGCTGCGCCCTTCGCGTCACCAACGTAATATTACAGACAATGGCCGGGCGTATCAACGAACGCTCAACAAACTCCGGAAAAAAACAATCAAATATTCATTCAGTGGTGTTTTTATACTGGCTTACGGCGGTAGGGCTTGTCAGGTGGCTTAAGCCGAGCTTTGCATCGTAATGAATTTTTTTTTGAGATTCTCTACGGTAGTCCTCTGTGTCTTATTTGCTATAGCAGTGTTTTCGTAATGGATGAAATTGAATTCATTCGTAAATACTTCGCGTGTAGCATTTGCAATTATAGGCTTGTTCGCGATCGTTCGGTTATTATACATTATTTATAAGTAGATCTTCTTTTTCTGATTTTTAACAATTTGGTACTGGACTAGCTGACTTTTTTTTAAAATAATACTAATAACGGAATTTGCTTTTCTGTTTCTTTTATGTGTTTAAAATAGTGATTAAATAAGTCCGTACTGTGTGCAGCTAGGAGGACTTTTAAACCTGACCATGCGTGTTTGTCCGTTTTGTTCGGATCATTTGCAGAAAAAGGTTAGCCGCCCAGTGACGCGTTGCACGCTTTGAGAGTGTGTCAGTGACTGCCGGAAGAAGCAAGTTTATACATAATCGTCGTTAACCTTTTAAGTGAGAGGCTTTTTCGCTTCGTGAGCAAAGACAACGCGACATTTTATCCGTATTACGGCAGTGCTGCTGTGGACGGATCCCGCAAAGCTTTCAGCGTGGCGGACAGCGATCGCAAAATGGTTTCTGCTGAGGAGAAGAAGGACGAATTACGGAGTGATGGTCAGTAATGTTAGTGATTTGTCTTAGTCACTCAAGAAAACATTTTGACTCTTTTTTTATACGTTAAGTAATACCTATAAAATGCTGTGCTCTGTTTGTTGGCAACAGTATAGCAATGTTTATTATATATTAAAAAGCAAGCTTTTTTTACTGTTTATACTTTGTTGTTGAAACGCAAAAAAACAATTTCTTAATATCATATTCCATGGTCGAACGTTTTTTTTCCGAGCTGATCCCTACAAGTAGTTAGCGAATTAAGCATAACTAATATTTGGATTCTGTCTTAGCGCAATATTCTGTGTATTCGATTGTTAATATTTTTGAATTTTGAGAACGAAAAAGTAGGAATCAGTGTTGCACGAATATACTAATGTAAGGGATTTATTTACCGGAGAGAATAAATTAGTTGAACTCGAAGAATAAAACATCTGAACACTAATTGGACTATTATAAAGTTCGCAGTAATCGAGAGATTTTGTATTGGGCCAGGTAGTTTGGTAAGCGCTCGTCTTCTTAGTATAGTGAAACCTACGGGTCCACCTAGTCAAGCAAAACTGCTGCTCATTCAGAACATCAGATATAACGTTGTGATCTCTGGTGATGGTTCCCTGTCTTAGGTGAAAAAAAGGAGAAAAAAGCTAGGGGCTTTGAACGAGGACTGGAGGCCGAGAAAATTCTAGGCGCTACCGATGCTGCAGGCGAACTAATGTTTCTCATGAAGTGGAAGGACTCTTCTGACGCAGACGTAGTTCCAGCAAAAGTTGCGAACGTGAAGTGTCCGCAGGTAAATCCGATCTTGAACGATTTAGGATAACAATGTTTGCGTAACACTAGCTCTTGACTAGAGACGCAATGTATCCTATTCTTAGCCAAGCGCACTAACAGTTGTTTTATGAACAATTTAATCAGAATAATTTTTATTTTATAATAAATATTTTATATGATTATATTTTACATTATATTAACGTCCTTCGAAGACGCCCTTTATTATATCGAATTTTGAGGCAATTCTGCGAACATACAATTCAAGTCGTGGTTAATTCTTTTTAACAAAAAAAAATTAATTTTTTCTTGGAAACGGCCGAATCTAATTTTAATTGAGTATGTTTTAAACTAGGAGCTCTAGCGGTCATTCAGTTACAGTTATAGAACTACGCAACTCGCATGTATGAAAGGTATATATTTTTGAGAAAGTTATGTTTCTCAAAGTAAGTTTCAAGTTCTCGGATACACAGTGTGTATGTGATGCAGTGTGAGAACGTCAACACAGTCATCTAAATCAGTAAGCCGAATCTAGTATTTCCGTAGGTTTATCATTTTTACAAATCTGGCTGTTTTAATCAAAGATTTTCTATTATTAGGTTGTAATCAAGTACTATGAGGAAAGGCTCGTATGGGACTCGTCAACTTGCGGAAAGGATAAAAAGTAAATCGAGACCCCAGGAATGACAACGCAAGATTCGAACAGATCAGCCGATTCTGCTTTCGACGCAATGCCACAGTATATTGAGGGATTACTAATCCCGACAGTGACCATAGTGGGCGCAAGACCGGAGGCGAAGTAGTAGAGATTACTAGCTCCTATGTCTAAACCAAACTACAAGCTTGTGTATATTTTGCAACATGTCGAATATTATTATTATGAATAGAGAATTTGAATAATATGGAAAATAATGCAGAACGATAATAAGATTAATAATATCGCACTGATGTACTTCTCTATTCGTTTTGATCTATTTTAAGCGTACAGTGGTGCGACAATTGACTGTATAATCTTGTAAGAATAACTTTAACATAAATTAGAAAATAAAGTTATGAAAAACACCAACTGCAACTCATTGATGCTCTTAGTGTTAAATGTGTTACAATACACAGTAATTTACAAGGTATTTACGGACCTCACCACTATCCTGATTGTACCTTGTAATTCATTTAAACAAAGCGCTCTCTGAAGCCGAAGTTACATTTTTAAGAATTGACTTTCACTAATCAGTATTCAGAAGGTGAAAACGTATAAATGTTGGTTTATTCGTTTCCTGTCATTCACAAATTAAAGACGCGGTAAGAAGATTGCTGAGTATGTTCCATTGGGCCTTAGCAGGTATACGCTGAACTGACATTAACTTCGCCGTTTATAAGGTCAATCAGTATGAAACGTGACATAATGAAGATATTTGCCTTATGATGATGCCCCGTCGGTTTAATTGAATTTACCCACTGATTTAATTGTCTCCGATTAACGTAGACGATTTTCCCAAGTGAAAATTCAGTGCAAGAATGTGAGAGTAAAAAGGAACACGTTTCTACGTCTCCTTTTGATCCTTATTCTAATTATGCGGCACTCAATTGTCCAGTTTTTTTTTCAATTTAATTTGTTCGAGATGAACAGGTATGGTATTGTTACATATATCAAACCTGAGTACTAACACCCATGCGCTGTGAGGTAACTCGACTTCCACCGCTACTCTTAAGCTTTCCTTATTCGACTTTGCAGGGTGTCTTGCACGAAACCCATTTTCGAGTTGAAAAAATGCCTTCTCGAATAGTTCAAATTAGCAGCGCACGGTTTTCTAGCAGTAGAACCTTCACCGAGTACGAAATTTATATCTCCGCTGCCGTAGCTTTAAGATGGCATTTATATTCGTACTCAATTTTTTTGACTTTGCGTAGCTTACTACAACTCGCCTGCTAAAAGTTGGAGTGGGTAGATCCGACTGAATGGCCTCGGATTTCAAAGAGTACCAATGCGTACTGAGGCAAAGAAGCCTACGAAAAGGTCGTACCGTTAAAAAATTGCCTAATCTTAAACTACGAGATTAATATTTGATCGAGTTGATTTTCATATTCCTTGGATTCTACTCTGTAAATAGTTTGTCCCTATAAAAGCTTAGTGGGACTTGTTTGCCCGCTGATTTAACGGACACATATTCATTTAAATTCGAACCAAGGCATAGACCCATTTCGCTTCATGGTTGAAACCGCTCGTTTAATGGAAGGCCTAACGGTGCCGAACATAAAACGCAAGACTTTTCGCAATCACTTATCAGGTCGAAGTTATTCTGTTCCTACATTTTTATCCTATTATTCCTTATTATTATTTATTTTATTATGGAGCGGATTTGGTATGTTTGAAGCTGTTCGATTTTGGTAGGCAGTTTGTCTTACGTTCACATCTAAAATTGAACAATAAAGTCAATAAGAAATTAGGTAATGTCTGATAGGATACCTAACGTAGTAGATGATTTTTAAATACTAAGCTTACTGACACTATCTATTCCGACCGTCAGTTTTGATTGCGATGTGATAACGCTTGCCTTTCTTACTTTCAAAAAGTCCGGCAAACGCTGAAACTAATCGTTAATGGTAGGCTTAGTATTAAGGTAAAGCTTTCTCGTTTCTACTTCTACATTGTTTTATCTTGAGCCGGTTGTGGTGGAACAGTTGTCTTTTACTAAGATATAAAAAAAAAAAAGCCTGACATTGTATGTCTTTCCTAGCAGATATCTCAAGGAAATTCTCTTTTTCTTAGCGGCGTAAAAAATGCCGGAAGTGACGCAACATGATAGTACTATTTATAACTGAGTTTCCCTATTGACTCGATTACGACTCGTAATAATAATAAATAATAAACTGTAATAAACTGTAGCGTCGCTGTATGGAAATCAGAATGGCCGCAGTTCTAAGTTAATGCGTTTTTGAACTTGCGAATTTACGAGTTGAGTAAAATAAATTAGTTGTACTTTGTGGTGCGACTTTGTGCTGAAGTAGACTCGTGCTTTCACCTCGAGTAGTTTCAACGTGATCGTTTTCCAAAGGTGGATAGTCGTATCTCGTTGGCCAACCACGTTAATGTTGTGCGCAGTAGAGTGTCTGCAGAAATCCATCATGACTCACGCCTACTTTAATGTACTAGTGGACGGCAATAATAGAAAAAAAAAAAGGTAAATACAATTCCTGTAGTAGGCTATTGGGCACTTAATCCTTGCGTGTGTTTTTGCACCCACGTAAACATGAACTCCCAGCACATTGTGCGGTAGAAATACAGAGAACTAGATATTTATACTAATGTGTATTCTTCTGGCTTTATTATAGTATTTGATGTTAGCAGAATATAAGAAGGCGGCTGAACGGGTGATGGTGTGAAAGTTTCAACGATAAAAAAAACAAAAAAAAAGAAAAAAAAACCTGTTTTTCTAATGGTCTGCATTCATCCGTGACTATAGCGCGTTCGTGAGCTTGTCATGGCTGGAGAGAAAGTCCAATCTTTTTTGTAATCCTAATGTGTTAACGGTAATATCAACATACAGAACTACTTACCTTCATATACCCGTGTCTTCACTACAGCCGCTACTTCACACTCTACAAATCATACGCCGTTATTCTAACGAATAGTCTCTGTTCATGTTTCTGGATAGCACAATGCTAACGTTAACTGTTGATCGGCGTTCAAATGTTAAAGGTTGTGCTCGTAAATTGCAGTCAACTGAATTTTTGTACTATCTATTTTGCTGGCCATATGCTACCTTGGATTCACTTAAGGTGATCAAGCATATTAGTGACAGATTCTATAAATTTACACATTGAAGTTTTCAGCTTTTCTTCAGTGTGTGCTAAGATCATATTCAGACTATTTCGGATAGATGCTGATTCATGTCTACCCATTGCTTCACATGAAGAAATATCTTTGTACCTCCCTGTATAGCTGTCTTACATGTTCCGTGAACGATTAGCAACACTGCCAGGGAAGGCTTTATTAATGGCCTATCAATGCGTTTCACACTTTCAGCCATTTAGCAGATTTTTATGCCGTTCTAACCGTACTAATGAGGTCCAATTGACTTTCCCTTCGAACATCTTTAGCTTACAATTGTTTAAATTAGTTGATTTGCCGAGACGTTTGTCCGCTAAGCCGCTAAGCTATTGCCGATAAGCTACTATACTGCTGGCTATATAGTTTTCGACGTATAGGTTTGTGTTCCCAAGTAATTATTGCTAGCATTGTTGACTGTTTTTTTAATTTTTTTTAGCATTTTCCATTATTATTTTTTTGTGAATGAGCTTCCGGGATTACCCCTTTTGGGTATAGCATTAAAAACGTGCCCTCACTAGGAATCTAACCAGAATGGGTCTTGCTGGACTTACGTAGGGTCTTTGTAGTGATCAAGTTTTTAATAAGCTTGGTCGAAGTGACAAACCTGGCAACTTCTGCGTCATTAAGAGTGGCGTTTCAGCTTAGGACTACTGTTGCAGCGTTATGTTTTTATTTCACATATGGCCAAATAATCTCTTTTCTTTAGTCCTAGTTAACAAAACTGGCATTTTTATTGTTTTTTTTTTTCTCTATGTGTGCGCTTACAAGATAACAGACAGTTTACCGTTGCTCTATTGAGATTTTATAGGGTGCATGGATGGATCTTGGCTTGGTAGATTGCCAAACACTTGCATACGTACAAGGGCAAATAATAAAATGAAAGCGTTGTTCAGATATTCCCAGCCTCTTGTTAAGCTGTGTTACGGTCAGGACAACTGAAATAAGATCACAATCGATGGAACAACCTTTCATTACATACGGTAGATATTAGCAGTGCGAAAACCTCGCACAAAAGTTCTTCACTAGAGCTGCCGTCATGTTTAAACTCGATTTTCGTAGAACGAGCGACTGAAAGTGTCAGAGAAGTCTGATTGATTGGTAATTGCAAAGATACTCTTAGAATTTTTCTCTGTATTCAACAGCGAAAATATCTGAGTCAACTAGTTAATATTGGTTATTAATGTTATTACTAAATTGCTGACATTTTGTTACTATGAATAGGCCGAAATTCCATATAATCGCCTCTCTTCATTTGTAACAGTTTTCATTATGATATAGATGGTTTTCCTTAGAATGCTTACGGTAAACTATGTACGTGATGGCGGTAAGGACAAGTTCGACCAATGATCTGCCGCGCTTCAAAGACTGCCAACAAGCTTGGCAGAAGCCAACAATCAGCTGTACATTTCGATTATGATTGCTACGCCACCAATGCTATTTCTCTCAGTCTTCCGATCAAAAATCCAGATACGTTGTGGCCATCCATTCGGCTACATGCACGCAACGTTCAGCTGTAACTAGAGAGACACGGGCCAACGACAGATAGCAAGCGAGTATGGAGACATATATGTATGTCCTTTTATTTACGCTCATATACTTTCTAATTGTTTGTAGCCGCCTTATTGAGAAACACTCATTATGAATAAAAAAGTATTGAAGTCAAGGTTCTTGTCGTCATCGTTGTCAATGACACATTGTTATAATCAGTTTCCAGTAATCGTAAAAACCGCACTAACCCAACGCTGTCCTACTAGAACCACTGACTTCACAATGTCAATCAAGGCATCAACAAAAGAGCTCTATTGCTAAAGAAAACGTATTAAGTCGCATTTTAATTGTTGTTAAGCGTCACGATGGTTCTGCCCATGGACTTTTGATTCAATAAAAGCCATATGACTATGGTGCATTGGGAGGATCCATTAAAAAATATTCGTAGAAGGTGTAAGGGCACTTGCGTAAGTTAGATATAACGGTGCCATAGAGCGGTGGAACTTTGTTAATTTAGGTAAAATGACAAAGCATCACCTAGAAAGGGTAAATTTTAGCGCGAAGATTTAAAAGTCTGCTTCTACTTCATTGTAGTTTAGGCGTTTACTGCGCATTACAATTTAGTAACAAACATTTCTGCTGACATATTGTTATTTGTCGTATACTAATATCTAATAGTGCTAAGCAAACGAACAAAATTCTGCTCAAACGTGAGGTTCGATAGTACATTTTCGAAGCAGT